GCTTGTATGAAGCTAAAGAGGTCATTTAATAATAATAAAAAAAATCATAATGAAAGCTTAGTTATGCCCTGCTGAGTTTAATGTAAGTTCTGGTGGCCTTAAATTTGCTGGTTAGACTTATTTCTTTATCTCATAATCATGTTCTTTTACTTATTCATGGAAACAGGCCCAGTGGGGTGATTTATGACTGCTTTGCAATAGTTTCACTGAAATCAAAATTAAATAAGCATCAGATGTCAAATACAAGAATACTTTGAATATTTTAGAGCACTGGGAAGCTTAGCTTTAATCAGAATAAGATCCTTAGTTACAGTCTCTCTCTTTTGAAGAGCCTTCCATCTTTGAATGTCTACTGTTGTTAATTGTCAGTAACCTTTTGGCTGTGTGTTTAAGATACAATATTAATTCATTAATATTTAAACGCATTCTGAAAAAGTTGATTTTGCTTGCAGTTCCCAGGGAGCTGAAGTTCAGGTCGGGTTCTGAAATTTAGGTACATATATTGAAAATCTAGTCTTTGTATGCAATTATTTGGAAAATTCTGCAATATTAAGTAAACACAAAAGAGAATGGAAATTGTGCCATTCATTGGGCTGTAGGGATATGCAGTGGTTGCTGGCTAAACGCTTCACAGGGTTCTGGTGGGGAAAAAAGGGAGTTTGGTGGTTTGCTTCAGTTCTTTAAGTACAAGCACAGAACTCTACTGGAAGGGAAAGAAAGAGAGTGGGTGTTATAATAACTTACAGGCTTTGAGACAGGCAGTTTTTGAAAGTTGCTTAAACAAAACCATTGAGAACATTTTGTCAAGACAATGCCTACTTCACCAGTGAATGCTAGAGAAGAAAAACTCAGATCTTTATTATACCTCTCCTTTATTTGCTGCATGAGTTACTTCTCTAAATTGCTATCGACACCATCACACTTGTGTTCTTTTGCTCTATTTTCTGTGCACAGAGCAAAGTTCAGTAAAGAAATTATAGATGAACAAAGTCATGTTTAGAAATATGGAATGTTTTGAGTGCAGAATTGATATTGAAACAAATTAATTAAAAGAGAGTCCTGAGAGCAAAGCAGAACAAAGCAGAGCCAGGTAGTGCGAGAAAGAGATGCTGTGGTATCTGAAAAGTGGTATGTTATGCATAATGGCATTGTTACCTCTCCTCTTAGACTGGGTGACCTGATCTTATTTGATGACATGAATAAGATGCATTTTAGACATCTGATTGAAGTGACAGCACTTGGCAACAAAACCACTTCACCACCTAAAAAGAAGAATTGCTGTAGCAGCTTCACCTCCAACTGAAGGGCTTTGTGAATGCGCGGGGAGGCAAGCAGAGCATGGAGTGGGAAAGAGTAAGAAAAGGAAATCAGCTTCCCCCCTCACATCAGGTTGTTTTGCATTCCCTTTGTTTAGTTTCACCTTGTTGGTTTGTGAGCCTGGCAAGATATCAGCCTCCTGTGGCTCCCAAAGGCACAGGAACGTTCAGCATTCTGGGACCCGTGCTTTCTGCCACTCCTTTTATCTCCTGTAGAAATACTGATGCAGCTGATCTTTCTGCAGCCATCTAGCTGCAGGTTAACAAGTGCATAATGGAATATCTTCAGCTTAAACAGGGAATACAAAAAGACGACTTATAAGGAACAAAAAGTTAAAAATAGGTGAAAATATGTTGTCAGATGTTTGTTTTGTTTGGTTGGTTTTTTTAAATATGCTAGAAATTTGATTGCTAGCAAACATGAAGAGAGTATTTCCTTTAACAATAAGTATTTCTAAGCTATCAAGAGTAAAGTTCAGCACAGTGCTTACATTATCATTAAGCTTTGTAAAGCCATTCTAAAGAAAGTATATTTAACAGGATTTTATGGACAGACATAATGAAGTAAAGATGAGACCCCATCTCTAGAATTGCAAAAGAGTAGAAATACGAAACTAATTCTCATCATTTCCGTAGACTGGAATTTGATAGGTATAGACAGAGCACAGTTATGAATTTATGAAGACTAAAATAAGTGAATATTACCATATGTAATGCATAACTTGCCTTTTCCTATATTTTTTTTTTGTTTCTTTTTCAAATAATTTTTATGAGTTGGTGTGATTGAATGATACTTTTTTTAAAAGTAAAGCAGTAAATAGATTATAGAAAATGCTGGTGTTATTTTCATAATGACTCATGTTTTTAATTGCTTAGTTGGTAGATTGAAGATAGAAGGTTGTTGTTGTTTGTTTTGTTTTGATTTAATACTGTTTTTAAGGCTTTCTCAAGCCACACCACATCCTTCAGCCATGTTGTTGGCTTCCAGTCTCCATCGTGGTGCTTTTAAAGTGTGCTTTTTCCTCTGCACTGTAGCACTGAAGCCCAGGCATGATAGCTATTGAACAGCCTAAGGCATTGAGGAGGAGCACATCATTTGATTGTTCGATTATTTCATTATAAAACACCTTAGTCTCTCTGTGTGTGTCTACTTGGATGCTTGCTGTTCGTGGCACTTCTCTCTTCCTAGTCATATGTAATCCTCCCAGCTTTCCCCCGAGTGCTCAGTCCAGCACCAACACCAGCAATGTGATGATGGCTGTGGGGGCGAGTGTGACTGGATAAAAAGCTGCAGTGTGTGCATAAAAGGAACCAAATTACTTACAGTCAGTTAATGCGGTCATGCTTCTAAGAGATCACCAAACCATGGCTAAAAGCACCTTTTGACATAATTATCTTGCTGTTTTCTCTCTGATTCATGTGAAATTGTTTTTGTTGTTATTGTAAAAACAGATGCAGTAGACTATCAGCAATTTTAAAGAAATTGCCACTAATAATATTAGTGCAAGACACACATTTAGTTGGAAAGTGGCGGAAAATACAAAACATTGTGATGGAGGACAGCTTTGCTTTGAATTTGCTAAATCCAGACTAATACACATAAGTTCTGGTGCTAAAGCAATAACTGCAAAGTTCATTTAGTGGTTAAATGAACAGTCAGTACGGAAATTTCTTCCTGTGTGCACAAGATGAGCGTGAATTCCTCACAGCCAGGATTTCAGAGGTAGCATTTCTAGAGAGGAATTCTAGCACCTCTGTTACACGATGGCAGAATGTGACAAAGCCTTGTCTCACTCTTCACAGTTAAATTTCTTCTTTGGGCTGGGAGAGCAACAGGTCAGGTTCCACAGGACTTCCACATGTGCATTGCATTACGTATGATGTTTATTCATTAATCATTCTGTTTGCTGGGAAATCTTCTCAATAGTCATTTGCTCTACCTGAATGTATGTGTGCGTTAAGTTGGCAATGAGTTGAAAAGAAGATTTTGAGCTTCCCAAGCCCTGGCCTTAACACACAATCCAGTGGGGTTATGTTTTTGCACCAAGTAGCCATGACATCTTCTTATCCTTCATTTCTCGCTGGTCACTTTCTTTTCTCATTCCTAGACAGGCTTTAGACATTGCCTGAACTTTCTTTAAATGGAGCTGGAATTTCATGCTGGATTCATCAGCACCAGTATCTCTTGTCAGATGCACATTGTGTGTTGGCTTTCCTCCCACCGTGTATAGGAGCCAGCTGGTGTTTGTGCAGGAGGATACTCTGTGCCACTGAAAGGGAGTTGTAGGGTGGATCGGTACTGGGAAATTTGAGTTTTCTCCGTGAATCTGCTTGAGAAGTTAACTGTGAGAATCTGTCCACTTGTATGTAGTCGTAAGGATTTTCTTACCTAGGAATGTACATAAACCTCTGTACCTGAGTACCTCTGTGTGCAAGTAACCGTGCTACGTGGAGTCAGTACTACTTCCCAAAGCTTGTGTGCAGCTGAATATTTCAGAGGTATCAGACTTCTTGTCACATCAGGTCCTTACTTTGCATTGAACTCTGGCAATCAGACAAATATGGTTTTTGGCTAACAGCCAAACAATTATAAAAGTCGGATAGAATGGATTTACACCCATTTAATATTTAGCTTTTTCTGCAGTAACTGCCAGTGATGCTAGCTAAGACAGTGGCTCTGATCAAGTGTTTGTATGCTAGGAAGTAGGTTAAACATAATCAACTGACAGATTGTTTATCTTAGCAGCATCATATTTAGAGGTATGTAATGCCAGGTATCTACTGAAAAATAAGCTCATAAAAATCAACTCTGAAATTGAGTCTAAGTGTATTTTTTGTTACAGGGAGTTTGGGCTCTTTCGCGTACATCTACTACCTTACAAAATCATTCTGCTGAATAATATTTCAAATTGTTTGCTCTTTGCTGCATTCCTGAAGCCCCTTGTGCATACCTGCTTAAGATCAGCAACAAATGTAGCAAGTAATGAAATAATTCAAATTTAGCTTATTTTGATTCATGATGCACAAATAGAAAATCATTGAAGTGTGACTGATTTTATTTATCTGCCGTAGTTGCTCATCTGAAATGCTACTGAAGTTCAGTAACTGGAGGTCTGAAATACAGTATCTGACAGATGGTGTGGGTGGTTTGTGTCATTTCCATGATAAATCTACTTACAAATATAACCACGAGGAAGATGTCTGCAGTCCTTGAGTAGTGCAACATATAGACAGAAAAGGTGACAAATACAACATGAAAATGGATCTGTGTCTCGGTTCTTCATTTTCTTTTTGCAGTGGTTTCAATTTTTGAGCAAGTGCAGAAGAGAGATTTCTTTTTGCTTCATCTGAAAAAGAATTGCTATGAATACGAAAATATTCTTTCAGTAGCCTTTCTTTTATATATTTTTGAAACCTATCCTAGAGTGAATTACTTTTGTAATGTTTTACAACATCAATAAACATTACACTTGCTAGATGAAAACAAAACAGACCTTTGGTAAGATACATTTACAATTACAGAAATATTGGAGGCAGGATATTTGGACAGTCCTGTTGCCCCAGGGCTTTCTCTGTGAACTGCTCTTACAGTTGAAGCTTAGAGATGATAAAATGGTATAAATAAAAATATAACTGCATTATTCCATTTTAATATTCTTTCTTACTCTCTTTGTGTTTTAACAGAAATCACAGATTCTGGTACTAGAGGAAACCAAGATACAATTAAGGGTGTGAAAAGGAAAAAAATTGTGACTGAGAACCATCTAAAAAAAATACCAAAATCGCCTTTGAGAAACCCTACGGAAGCCAAGGTTAAACAAAGTATAGACCCTTCACCTCTGAAAGTTCTTCAGGATGCCTCAGAACATGCCACAGCACAGGATCACTTACCTGTGCAAAATGGAAATCAGTGTACCAAACAAAATGGGGGAGTGCTTAGTAGCGAGATAAGCACTGAAACAACCAAATCTGAGATACCAATGCGGACAAAGCTTTCATCAACACCTCAGTCCTTAGACTTGAGTAAGAAGGCAGTGGAGGATTCTGATGTGAACCAGTTAAGCTTGCCAGAGAAGAAGTCTCTCTCCAAGTCTTTATCAAGTAAAACAAAGACTGACAGTAATGAATGTATTACTTTTGCTGATGGTAGTACATCATCCCCATGTACACGTACTGCTTTTGATGTCTTATTAAAAGCTATGGAGCCTGAACTGAACACCTTAGCACAAGAGGGTCCCCCTTATGGGATGCAAGTAGAGAAACTGAGACCAAATAAAACTGTAAGCACCTCTGCTAGTCTCGTGTCCAATACAGTGAGCGTCCAGAATCAGTCCACTTTATCACAGAATGAGTTTGCAACTGGACCTCGTTATTTCCCATGTACATTAAACAACATGCATGTAGCAACAGCAGCCAAGAGTGCACAAGCACAGGTCCAGACCATTTCTCCTTCGCAGGATCTTGTTACTAAAACCAGTCAACAAAATCACCAGGTTGTTGTGTGTCCAAGTTTCACTGGATCTGTGTTGCAACAGCAGAGCCAAGAAAACCCCAAGCTCCAGCAGATATACAGCATAGCAGTAACTTCGTCTGGCATTCACACCTCATCTTCCACAGTAACTCAGGTTTTTCCTCAAAACCAGTTAGTAACAAGTTCATCTTCACCTTTGTCAGTAAACACGTCTAGTTCAACACATTTGTCTATAGGTCCCGTGTATAATTCAGCCCAGATAGCATCAGTTGTAAACCATGGCGTGGAACAAATATGTAACCTCCTGAAAGACCAGAAGCCTAAAAAGCTAGGGAAGTATGTCTGTGAGTATTGCAATCGGGCCTGTGCCAAGCCCAGTGTTCTCCAAAAGCACATCCGATCCCATACTGGAGAACGACCTTATCCTTGTGTGACATGTGGATTTTCATTTAAAACCAAAAGCAATCTGTACAAGCACAAAAAATCTCATGCTCATGCTATCAAACTTGGACTTGTCCTACAACCAGAATCTGCTGGTCTCTTCTTATCTCATGACTCAGACAAAGCACTTAGCATTAATTCAGACGTAGAAGAAAGTGGTGAAAGTGAAGATGAAGGCACTGCTGATGAAAGACAAGACGATCAGGAACTGGAGCCTGCACAAATAATAAAAGTCATTTCAAGTGCAGAAACGTTACAGAAAGAAAGCCCTATTCCACTAAGCAATCCAGACTGTATACCAGGTGATTCTTCATTACATGATACAGAACCACAAGTAAGGGCAGCTTTACCAAAAGTAGTAGTTCACCCTGTAAGTGTTTCTCCATTAAGGGCTGATAGCCCCAAAGTAAAAGACCCAGCACCTGAGCTTGCAGCAACACAGAGAAAAGGAGATTTTAAAGCAACAGATCTTCAGTCAAATTTAACACATACAGTGTCACTCAAAGACAGTGACATAAAGCAACATCAGAAAACAGAAATGGGCTCATTAGAGGAGCAGCTGGGATCTGCAGTAGGAGCAGTGCATGCTCAGCTTCAGAGACAGCAGGCAACAGATTGTTCCCAAGAGCAGCAAGGAAAATGTCTTTTGAGCCCTAGAAGTTTAGGTAGTACTGATTCTGGTTATTTCTCTCGTTCTGAAAGTGCTGATCAAACAATGAGTCCACCAGCTCCTTTCGTAAGAGGACTGCTGACCTCTGAGAAGGACTCAAATAAGAGTTTGCCTTCTGTGCCACGAACAAGTGGAGTGGTAGCATCAGTGGTGCAAACCGTTTGTGCTGAGAAAAATTTAATTCTTTCTGGCCAAATGCGACCTCCCATGGCAACAAAAACCCTCGAGGAGCGTATCTCAAAGTTGATTTCTGATAACGAAGCTGTTGTGGATGACAAACAGTTAGATAGCGTGAAACCAAGAAGAACATCTCTTTCAAGAAGAGGTAGCATAGATTCACCGAAATCCTACATATTTAAAGATTCTTTCCAGTTTGATTTAAAGCCCATGGGAAGAAGAACTAGTTCAAGCTCTGATATACCAAAGTCCCCTTTCACACCCACTGAAAAATCAAAGCAAGTTTTTCTCCTCTCTGTACCATCTCTTGACTGTTTGCCTATTACACGGAGTAATTCCATGCCTACTACCAGTTATTCAGCAGTACCTCCAAATGTAATACCACCCTCTCATCCACTTCGAGGAAGTCAGTCATTTGATGATAAAATTGGTTCTTTATACGATGATGTTTTTGTATCTGGACCTGCTGCTCCACTGAACCAGGGTGGACATCCTCGGCCTCTCGTTAGACAGGCAGCAATAGAAGATTCTTCTACTGGTGAAAGCCAAGTTCTTGGACCAGCACGATCTGTAGAAGAAAGTTACCTGGGATGTAATTTATCAAACGACTCTTTATTGCAGAGAAGCAAGTCCCTGGCACAGGCACCAAATTTAGAAAAAACAAAGAAGACCCCTCAGGTACGAGGAACAATGTTTGAGTGTGAAACCTGCAGAAACAGGTATAGAAAACTGGAAAATTTTGAAAACCACAAGAAATTTTACTGCTCAGAGTTGCATGGACCTAAAACTAAAGCAGCAATCCGAGAGCCTGAGCATAAAACTGTTCCTAATAGTACACAGCCTCAAATTCTGCACTACAGAGTTACTACTTCAACTGGTGTCTGGGAACAGACACCCCAAATAAGGAAAAGAAGGAAAATGAAAAGTGTCGGAGATGATGATGACCCACAGCAGAATGACACAAGTGTGCCATCAAAGAATGCTGAAAGCCAAAGTAAGCCAGCAAATTCTTCCAGTCTGTCAAAACACAGTGCAACAGTACTAGGTTCGCAACAACCAAGCAACCTTTTACTTCAGAGTTCACAGATTCAGCTTGTGGCTCAAGGCACAGATCTGACTGCCGAGACAAAGATGTCTCCGCTCTCTGAAAAGCAGACAAGTTCAGTTATGCAAGAAAAGGTGGAATTGAAAAGACAAGGGACTGGCATTTCGGTAATACAGCACACCAATTCACTGAGCAGAAATAGTTCGTTTGAGAAATCTGAATCCTTTGAAAGAGTATCACCAGTTTCATCTCAAGAGCCCAACAAGGTTGCAAAACAGCTCTCTTTGAACACACTTGCAGTCCAAGAGGACAGACACTCGCATCTGAATACTTCCCAGCATCATCAGCCACTGTCATCAGAAGCAGCTAGAGGGGAAGTGCAGGGAAGCCAAATAGCTTCTAATGAGAGAAGCATCCCAGTGCAGCCATCAAGACTTGTTCGCCAGCATAACATCCAGGTTCCTGAAATACTGGTCACAGAAGAACCAGACAGGGATCAAGAAAACCAGTGCAGCGATCAAGAAAAGACAGAAAGATTTAACTGGCCACAGCGCAGTGAAACACTGTCCAAGCTGCCAACAGAAAAACTCCCACCGAAGAAGAAAAGAATTCGCTTGGCTGAAATGGAGCATTCATCTGCTGAATCCAGTGTTGACTCCACTCTTTCGAGAAGTCTGAGTCGAGAAAGTAGTTTGTCTCATGCCTCCAGTTTTTCAGCTTCACTAGATAAAGACGAAATTTCAAAGGTGGACAATCCTTCCAAAACAGAGCTTGTTAACAAGTCAGCAGAATTCCTTATGATACCTGCTGGCTCTCACGTTCTGGGCGTGCCTGGCCCTCATTACAGGGAAATGAGGCGCGCTGCATCAGAGCAGATCAGCTGCACGCAGCCCTCAATGGAGGTAGACTACAGGAGTAAGTCTTTTGATTGTGGAAACATATCTCCATCAAAACCTGCTTCACTCGCAGAGATAGCTGCTCCAAAACTGTCGTCTGGAAACGGAGTTACTGGACATGTGCCTCTGCTAGAAAGGAGGAGGGGGCCATTTGTAAGACAAATATCTTTAAATATTGCTCCAGAAAGTCATCCAGTTAAATCAACTTCTTCATTTCAGACAGCCCATGCTACTGATGTGCCATTTCACAGGCTGCAGACCTCCAGCAAATCCTTGGTGAAGTTTCCTTCAAGTACTCAGCATTCGCAAACACACTCAAGGCCTCACTCAGCAGTTCAGAATTGCAATCCAGGTAATATGTCTTTGGTTCAGCAGCCTCTGGATCATGTTTTGAATAATCAAGGACAAACATCTTCAGTGCATCAGCTTTCCCAGACCTCTACCAAAAAATCAGCCCAAGGGGGACAAGTGAATACGAACACACTGTCTTGTCATCCTGATGAGAAGAGAGATTGCTTTGCTCCAAAATATCAACTCCAAGTTAAAACATTACATATAGGTCAGCCGTACTCTTCAAAATTGCTAAAAAGTAATCTGTCAAGTCAGTCTGTCTCAAGTCACGTTGGGGTGGATCAGAACATGCCCTCTTTTGAGCTGCAGGCTAAACTATCTGACAGTATGTCCAACCCATACTCTGTGCCTCCTCTGAAACAGATTATCCCTAACAACTGCAGCAGTCAGTTACATCAGATTCCTCCTTTTGTAGTTCCTGTCCGTATTCACAGTAGTATGCCATCGTATGGCTTTGCAACTGTTACACCCCTTCCTCACATTTTAGTGACTCAGGATCAGGTAAGCCAGTCTGCTTGCAAAACAAATGCTGTGACATTGCCAACACTTGAAGGCAAAGCGCAGCTGCCAAAATCTCACAAAGATCATAAGAGGACTTTGCCAAATTCATTTGAATTTGAAAATCCGCTACCAGAAAGTGGAACCAGAAACTCACCTTTGTCAAGCTCTTTGAATATTATTCAGAAAGTGCCAGTTAGTGGACTCTTCCCTCAACAAGAAGCTACGGCTTCAAGTAAACGGATGCTTTCCCCAGCCAACAGTTTAGATATTGCCATGGAAAAACAGCAGAAACGTGTTAAAGATGAAAGTGGAGCTGCATGCATGACAGAAGCTAGGCCACTGCATCCACTGAATGTTCGATCTAATGACCCTATCGGTAAGCAAAAGAAACCTGTTTTGGTGAGACAGGTTTGCACCACAGAACCTCTCGAAAATCACCTCTTAGATCCTGATGGTGTTGCACAGCATGAAAAAAGCAGCAAAGCCAGTACTTCAGACCTGCTGTTGCCTAACCGTCATTCATCTGAAACTGGTGTTTCGGAAACTCTGAAGGAATCATCAGAAGCAGAAGACCTTAAGTCTTCAGCATCACCCGTGTTTGTAGTTAGAAAACCATCTGAACCATCTCCAGTGAGTAGTCAGAGTTCTATTGTAAAGGCAGTAAACAGCAGTCAAGAAAGAAGGTCCCCAGGTAATAGTCATGAGAGTGAGCTAATCAATAGCCAGGGCCAAGCAAAGCTACTGACTACGCTAGCTGTGATGAATGCAGGAGAAATGCAGAGGTTGTCATTTCCAAGCCTCAAGACCTCAACAAGTTTTACCTGGTGTTATCTCTTGAAGAGGAAACCATTACACCTGCTGCAAAGTGATCAGAAGATTTCAGCCTATTCTACGTGGACCATTAGTCCCAGCAATCCCAATCCACTAGGTTTGTCAACAAAGGTAGCTCTTTCTCTCCTCAACTCAAAACAGAAAGTGGAAAAACCGCTGTACACCCAAGCAAGAACTACTCATCCCAGGTCGGATATACTGGTCTATTCAAGCAAGTGGAAGAACAGCTTAACCAAGGTACTTAATTTATGCTTGATGTATATTTATCATTTACAGAGGATTTGCTTTGGAAATCATGCTACTTCATATTTTGGAGAATGCAATATGCCTGACATGTATAATATATGTGCTTATTTATTTCAGTTATGCTGGATCAAACCGCTAAAGAGATCCAAAGTAATTCCATTAAGAAACCTCTTCATAAACATTGATCTCTTTTCATGGAAATTAGTTCCTGGATTTAAATCTGTATGTGAAGTATTTGTTATGGCAGAAATGCGTTTGGCTATTTTTTAAGTACAAAGGATATAATAAAAGTAGTTCTGTTATAAGTATTTTTTTAAACACTCACAACTTAAAACAGGTTAGTTTCAGATCATGATTGCATATTTTGCCTTAAAAATCTGCTGGTATTTTCTGTTATAAGAGAGTGCTTAGAGTGAACAGGTGTCCATGGATACGTAGTAAAGATATTTTTCACCATTGCTGATCATTTAGTGTGGGAGGAACAGCATACCACTTCCCTTTTTCCCACCTAGGTTAGTTGACAGCGTGAAATAATGCCAAAAATAATGAAGTTTAAAACAGAATTGCATTAAATTCCATTTAAATACTGACAACTTCTTAGATCAATATGAATCCAAAAATGCTATTAAATCTTGTGCACTGGAATATATTCAGGGCAATGTTTGTGATGTACATAAAACACTATGTAATTCCAGAGTCAAATGTAGTTTATTTCATTAACCACCTTAGGGCTGCACAGATATCAGCAGGATTTCATTACTGGACCATATGGTGATTTGTGTTGAATTTGACTTTCCTGCATAATTGATATGCCTCTGTGAATTGGTAAATGCAACACTTGGCCCTGTAGTATGGCAGTGGGTGTCAGTGTCTAATGGATCAAGTGCTAGCCTGCGATGGCTCACCTATCGAAGCCATAAAGCTCAAAGGAGAGCCTTGGTCTGCAGTGTGGTTTTGTGCTCTTCTTTCTCTGCCATGCATTGGGTATACTTCTTTCTATGCTTCTCTTCTGAACCTGCAAAAATTGAGGATAGGCCATGGAGCGCTGTTCCTCCAGAATCACTCAGAGGCTGCCTATTTCATACAAACCATGTATAAACCATTTGGGATGTAAGAGTAATCACAATTATTGCTTGCCCTAATCTTGCAGTCTGCTCTCAGAAAATCTTTCTGGGCATCAGGCTGGGAATCAAGACCCATAGGGCATGTAGTCACTCTAGAGGAAGCATACCACAGCCTTGGGAAAAGATGTATAGTCCTGGTGATGTTGAGTGATGAAGACCAATGCTGTTAAAGGTCACAGCAGGATGTTCCTGTGTTTGCTAAATGTTTTGCTAAAATACAGAGTTGTCAGTGGGGAAAAGAGCTGCAAAATGAGAAACTGCGTGTAAGAAGAAGAAATAGTTTCAGAATTACAGGAAGATTTGAGATGATATCCAGAAACTCTTGCGGCCAAAAGAGCATTAGAGTTAAATCTGGTACATCTTGATATCAGTGAGAGATTTCACTAACATTCATATTGGAGCTCAAAACATTATTTTCTGTATAACACGTTACAGATAAATAGACTGCTGACTTGGTGCTAGTGCTGTAAGTGGACTGAAGTACTGGTTCCATGTTAGCATGTCTCCTTTTATTTGAACTCGTATTAACTTTTTCAGCCTGCTTCCTCATGTGTTCTATGAGATGTACTTAAATAGTGCTTATTTATTAAAAAGAATTGTGTATAGTTGAGCATTTTGTTCTGAGGAAGGTGAGTCAAGTCTCTCTTTCGTTTTGTCATTGACTCACATTTATTTTTAAAGGATGGCCTATTAGTAGAAATGCTCTGATAACAGAGCTGTTGTGTGCTTCATGAAGAATAAATTCTGTCAACAAACAAATTCTGTTTAGAATATAAGTAATAGATAACAATATTCTGAAAAATATTTTGACAGCACCCTTTTAAACACTTTAGGAGTTCATAAATGCTGTAATAGGCAGCTGTCAGATACATTTATACTGCTTCTTCCACAAAAGAACCATAGTTATCAATTTTGCTTCATTCTTTCTTGCTGACGTTTTGAATGAAGTGTGCTGGCACGGTGAAGATGAAGAGTTTTGAAGCTCTGCTTGGGGCTGATTTACAGGTTTCCCTCAGGGTTGTTACATAGGAAGAATGTACAGAGAGAAATGACCAATTAAAGTTTAAATGGCATCTCAGATTGTACGAGCAAGGTTTAGAAGGCAGGAAAAAAGAAATGAAAGGCTTGATAGGTACTATGACCTAAGACCTCCAGAGTTTGCCTCATTTTATTTCAGTGACTCAGGGAGTAGCATTTCAGCCATTTACCACGATGATGAGGATGCTGTCAGAAGACAGCTCTGTGTTACTAATCTCCAGTTTGACCTGGTAATGGAATGGCTGGTGCCTTGAAGGAAGAGTCTAGTTAGTGTCATCATAGAAGCTGTCCTGGATGAAAACAAAAACTAACTTCCCCATCCTGTTCATGCCCATTAATTCTCTCAGTGGCTTTTCTAGTAGAGAACATTGACAGTCCTTTGGGAAGTTAATATTCCATTTTAAATGAGAATTGGAAAAGAAAACAAATTAACAAAGTAATTCTCTTGTTA